CAATAATAAGCTGCACGAGCAGTACAGCGTTGTGGAGAGGGGGATTTTCTTGTTCAAAACGGACAAGTTTCGTCCGATCCTTCAACTTTTTTTTGCCGGACAAATTATCTCCGAGGCTACGATTATCTTCAGCATCGGTGTGCAAGTGTGGTCACATAGGACACAAGAAACAACGTTTGCATTGTTTTCACTTGGATTAACAAATAAATTACTATTTTATTACATCAGAAGAAAATACGACAATCACATTTGTTAACAAGGTAAGGAAAAATTTTGTATTTTGCACGAACATTTTTCAATGATAAGGTTATGTGAGGTTATTATATAAAAAGGTTATAAAGATTATATTGTATATACACATCGAAAAGTTTTGTTTATTATTAGATGAGTGATCAAGATGATAGTGCTGGACCTTATGCGGTTATTCGATTTACTGACGAAAACTCAAATTCTAAACTAATCGATTTGATTCCATCTTCTTGGATTCGCAAAGTTGATCAGGGATATTTTTGCTCGTATCCAGATTCGAAAGATTATTCTCATTTAGATAACTGGCTTGTTTCATTAAAAGATGTCGAAGAACATTGGGATTCTTATGCGATATTATTGCATACGCAAGTAAATAATATTTATATAATTATAACACTGTCTAACATCATTTTTCAACACGTAAATAAACATTTTTTATGTATTTTTGCCTGCTGAACATAAATCCGTTGGCTAAATATAACTATCAGGTAAAAAATTGTGACATGATAGTCAAATTTGGTGGATTAGTATTCAGCAGACAAAAATACATTGAGAATGACTATTTATATTCACGTTGCACAAAATATAGGTCAGATTTTGTAAATTCTGTCTCTCCCCCCTGGACAATGTAATATATTTACAAATTAAGGCAATGCTGAAGTGAAGGAAATACCAACAGTACAAACTTTCTTCAAAATGGCTTTACAGAATTAAAAACTCTTTTACAAGTAGAAAGTATACACACGAATAAAATCTAGAATACTCAACTTAAGCTGAAAAACGAAAAAAAATTTTTATTAAAAATTACCGACATATTTACAATTTTTTAATCTTTTTTTATTCTTAAACTTGTGTATCCTGTAGTTTATTTGTGTGTATATTTTAAACGTGTAAAATGGTTTTCTACAAAATTAATTCAAACCTGTAATGTCGTTAATTGCAAAATCCCCTTAACGTTACTTAAATTTTTCGTTCATTGATTTATTAGAAAATTTAAAACAAGGAAAAAGAAGGTTGAAGCGAGCACTAAAGTCGGATGACGTGAAAAGTACTGATGATGACGTATGCGATACTAATGAAATGTCAGTAATGATATTATCCAAAGATTCCTTGGAAAAGCAATTAAATGCAGTGAAGCCATTTTTAACCATTGACGAATCTCCTTCGACAAGTTCTTCTTCACAGACTTCAATTTAAAAAAAAGAAAGAAGAAAGAAAAACCAAGGTATATTAATTTTTTAATTTTATTTGTTATGTTGCGCTGATATATATTACTATTTATATTGATTCTTTATTTTAGAGACATCTGCAGAAAATGTGTTTCCTTCGGCATCGATCACATTGGATCTTCCAGTTATAAATGAAGAGACAGCGGCAGAGATTTTAAATGTACAACCGAGTAAGCAATAACAGTTTTATTAAATATGTATTAATTTTAGGTATAATTCAGATCGTTAATTCAATATTTAATTATTTTTTAGTTTCAATAGATGTGCAGATAGATTATATGGACAAAAAATTCCAACAGCTTCAGACTGAACTCTCAAGCCAAATTTTATCCGCCAAAAGAAGTATTTTGTATGACTTAGATAAGAAGATAACCGAAGTGAAACATACAATTATCGTTAATAATCAATCAAACACTACTTCACAAATGAGTATCGATAAATTAAAAGAAGGTTTAAACATTGCTTTACCAACAGTATCATTGGATCACTTTTTACAGTTGGAAAATTTATTAATAGATTCTCCAGAGAAAAAAGAAGCATTGGTAAATAAATCGTAGTTCTATTTGCAAAAAATTTTTATATATTAATTTTTTTAACAATCAATGAATGTAATATTTCTTTTTTTATTTCATCACAGATGGCTTTGTTCCGTGTACTTATTGCTGCAGAACCTGATTTGAAAGAGGGCATTGCCAAGGCGATGAGTTCAATAATGACGAAGACAGTAGAATTACAATATTCAGCAACAGGAAGGATGATTAATGGACAGTCCGAAAGAAACTTTAGTGGGACTAACTCGTATATATGTTTAAGAGGTAAAATATATTTTTTAGAATCGGAAGAGCA